TAATCTCCACCGTATTAGCAACATCGATCTCCAAGTCACCTACCTGGCATTTGAATTTAAGATATTGTATTGTTTGAATTTAAGATATTGTAATTAGTAACACAAAAGCAATTTCAGTACTTATCTATAGACACAATTAGAGGCATTGATTCTTTTCTAGATGCTGTCCCTAAAATTAAAAATATTTGGCACCTAATCTAAAAAGTATTAGAAGCAATGCGATAAAATGTGGTAAGAATAACAGAGTTAACTGCTTGGATGAACTCACCTCAGATTCCCCATCTGTGTGACGTGTTCATTATTGTTGTCCATCATTGTGATTAATAGTGCTGCTATAAGCAGAAACTAGCCACACAGAGAATTTTTACCCTCATTTTATATGAGTTTAATATTTTATATTAATTTCCACTTTTGAATTTGATTATTCATCATTTTTGTGCATTATCTGTGTTGCTGAAAAGATAATTCTGGCCAATTCGAAGAGTTTTAATTTAAACAAAAAAATTGCATGCAGACCTGGGGCACAGGCCAGGGGTGCAGGGGTGGGACAGGGGATCAAACTCATGTTCAGGTGACTTTAGCTTCTTAGTGCTATGCTATAACCTGCTGCTCCACCAGGGAGGACCTAATTTTTTTTTTTTTAAAGATTTATTTATTTGTGCATACAGAACTGGGGTACAGGCCAGAGGCTCAGGGGCGGTGAGAGGCTTCACCAGAGACAGAGTGGGGAGCAGAACAGACAGATAGACGAAGTACACTGCTGAGGGGAGCAGCGGGCGGGCCAGGAGAGGTCTGCCATGCCATGTGGCCATCTCCGGGGCAGGCGGGGATCGAACTCATGAGAAAGTGGCTTAAGCTTCTTTGTGTTGTGCTTTAACCCGCTGCGCCACCAGGGAGGGCCAATTTTTTTTTTTTTTAAGCAACCAATGTGCCACGCTTTATAAACATGAAGTGCTGACTTTGCTGTCTGAATCCTCTGGGTTCAAGAGCAATGGTTATACCTTCTCCTGAGCCAGTTGTTCAGGTCAACCCCAGTTCAATTGCTCAAGTCCATTTGCACCTGGCCTGTGAGTACAGGGTTGGCTATCACCAACGAACGTTTTCAGGAGCTCTAGCACTGAGACACCCAGGGGCAGTCAGTTATACGCAGGTGAGGTGCAGGGCACAGGTGGGGTATGGGGCTGGGCTTCTGGAGGTGGCATTGAGGTGGGTAAGCCAATGTAACTCCAGCTGCTTCCCCTGGAGAAAACAAGTGAGAACCTGGAACTGCCCTAACCCCGACAGGAAGCACAAGCCTGCAGGGACAGCTGTCAGCCCAGTGGTCCTGTCCAGGCTGTACTTCCACGGAGTGTGGAGCTGGAAGTTGCAGGCACAGGGCCACCGCCTCTTCTGCAGGCTTTCTGCTGTGTCCTCGGCCTTTTCCCCTTGGCACGGGGAGACCTAACCATCCCTGTTTGGAAGATGCCTGGGGTCTCCTCGCCTGGTTCATCCTTCAGTTTCATTTTGTAGCAGAACCTCTGCTCATCTGCTTGGTCTGGACTGCATTGCATCTTTCACATCTGTTGTCCTGGCCAATTTCCGCCATCAGTAAAGTCCTTTTCATCGAGTCATAAATCTTAACAGAGGGAACAAACACACAAAACAAAACCCACACAGTTCAAGTTCATGAATTTGTGTTGGATGGAAGTGAAGGGAAGGAGAGTTGATTCAATTTGGGAAAATATTTAATTCAGCAAACATTTGTTGATTGACTTCTGGGTTTAACCCAGTTCTAGGAGGCAGGATGCTGCATTTGTCCCTTATTTCAGAAAAAAGTACTCTCTGGTTAGGAAAAAAAAAAAAAAAAGAACCCCTTTTCTTTAGTAAAACCAGCTTTTGCTCTAAGAGGAAACATTTCAGGACTTATCACAAAACTGTTCTGGGGTGAAAGGGGAGCACTGATGACTTCTTAGTGACTCATTTGATGATCATACCATTGTTTGAAGAACTGGATGTTACGTAATCAACATTTACTCCCCTCCTTCCTTACTCTCCCCCCCACCCCCCCAAATCTGGGATTTTCCATCATTTTGTCAACCTCCTGGAGGCATGTTGATTTTTCCATTAGATTTTTTTTGGGCACTTCCCAGGGCAACCCAAACTCACCACTGCCTAGAAATTCAGATTCCCCCATCAGTGGCAGGGACTGGGAGAGCAGCTGAGTGGACCCTCCTATTCTTTTAGGGCAGAGGCTGGGCAGTAAGCAGGTCAGAAGAAAAGTGCTACATGCCCTCTGATTCTTGCAATGTTTATTTTTATATACAGAAGCAATCTACCTGTTCCCTTTTTTTTCCAGATGTCTTCAATTGCCTTTTTTTTTTTTCTATTCTGTGTTTCCATTTCCTTCAGCTGATACCATATTATATATGTCCAGGGAATTTTAAAATTAGCCCAGATTTAGAGATGGCTAGTTGAGAACATATAACAGTAGCCCAGTCTGGAACTCAGCCATATGACAAGTCAGTTACGTATGACACACTGAAGATTCAGGGTGAGGAGGGCTTCTGCATATTACTGCAGGCAAGTATATTGCTGTCTAAAGGTCACAGGAAATCTGGTAGAGATTCTTTGGGTCACTTCTCTGCTTTATTAGTTTTTTGTGGGATATTTTACCAGAGGTCAATGCAGACAATGTTTGACTTTAGCTATTTTTACATATTTTTTTTTTGTTTGAACATGATTTGCAAGTACAAGAGAGATTGGACATAGCAGAGACAGATGCAAGTGGGAATGATGAAGGTTGACACCCTTGCCAACCCCCAGTTTCCATACCTCACTCTTCACCACTTATGCAAATTCAGTTTAATAGATAAACCTTCTCCATGCCCTTCAAATTTGTCCACTTATATTTTCTGCAAGTGCCACTTTCTACTCTAAGCCACCATCATCTCTCATCACAACAAATGCAGAAAGTTTTAAATAAATCTTCTTGCATCCACTCATAGCTGTCACCTAAGCCATTCTTCACAGAGCAGCTAAGTTATTCCTCTCATTAATCTTTTTTCCCATACTTAAAAATTGTGATACAACAAACATTATGTAAAAGTTACCATTGTTAATTACTTTCACTGTATAGTTCAGTAGTATTAAAATACACATAATGTACAAGCCTCACCACCATCCCTCTCCTTGATTTTTTTCCATCTTGTAAAATTTAACAATAGCTCCCCATTCCTGTCTCCCTCGGGAGCTCTGGAAACCACCTTATTGTTGTCTGTCTGTAAATCCCACTGAGCACCTCATATCATTTGACTTTTGTGACTGGCTTAGCATGATGTGCCATTTCAACCATGTTGTAGTGTATAGCAAAATTTTATTCCTATTGAAGGCTGCGTAACCCTCTGTTGTATGTAGAGATCACATTTTGCTGATAAGTTTGCTGATCGACACTAGATATTTTCATGTTCTAGATACTGTGAAGAATGCTGCTATGAACCTGAGTGGATCTTTCTCCAAGAGCTTGCTTTCACTATTTTTGGTATACATAAGCTCCTAAAACTTAACCATGAGAAAACCCTATTAAAAATACTTGAATAAATATTCCTTCAGAGAAAATATAGAAGTGACCAGTAAGCACATGGAAATCAGTAACCATTACAGAAATGCAAATGAGAAGTACAATGTGATACCACTTCCTCCATTGGGATGGCTGCTGTTAAAAAAGCAGATAATAATAAGTGCTGTCAAGATGAGGAGCTTTTGTACACTGTTGGTAGGAATATAAAATCATGTAGCCACTTTGAGGAAAAGAATATGGCAGTTTCTTGAAACATTGCAAATAGGTGATCTTAAAATTTGTGTCATGCTTTATTTCTCAGCATAGAACTCTTGTTGCCTCTCTGTTTTACTTAGGATAAAATTATAAATTTTTGGCATTCCTTATCTCTTTAACCTTGTCACTCTGACCTCTGAGTACTCTGTCTCATTTGTGTTGATCTTTTTGATACCAAAACAGACCAATATTCTCCTCCACTTCCTCAACTCATGACCTTCAGTGTGCTGTTCTCTTTATCTAGGATCATGGTTCTCCAACGTTAAGCGTCATCAGGATCACCTGGAATCTGTGGTAAAAATAAAGATTTTGGGGCTCCACTCCCCAGAGGTTCTGGAGCGGGGTTGATAATTTGCATTTCTGATGATTTCTTGCAATGCTGATGCGGCTGGTCTAAGGACCACACTTTGAGAATTTTTCCTCTTTTTCACTGCTGTTTGTGCTTTACATCTCAGTCAAACATCTCTCTTCTGAGGAAAACCTACTCTAATTCCTCCAGACTTGTAGGAATTCTTGTAATGAGTTAGTTTCACATATTCTGCTTCCACTTTGAAGCCCTTACTGATGTTGTATTTGAATGTTTAGTTGTGTAAACAGTGTTTGAATGACCAAATCCCTTTCCACAGTTTTCATGAAGGAAGGGATCATTTCATCATGTCTTGTTCACTGTTGCGCCTCTAAATCATTGCACATAGTGTTAAGTAATAATTTGTCAGATGAATGAATATTGTTATTTCCTTTTCATATGTAACTGGAAGTCAGGAGTATAACTAATACTTTTAGTGAGTAGGCAGGATATGTAGGAGTTATGGGGGTGATAGTAGAACTGTATAGAAAGCCTAAGCATATTTTGCTTGTCAGGGGTGTAGGACATTCCAGTAAATGGTCATTTTTTAAGGGGCCCAACATAGTGTGGAAAGCCTCCCAAAGTTTACCTGCCCCAGTGAGGATGATAGTGACATTATTTCTCAATTTTCCTTCTTCAGAGCCTCTGTACCCTATTATATTTCATTTAGGTTTTTACTTGAGGTATAATTGCCATATAATATTATGTTAGGCTCAAGCATTTTCGCCCCAAATATAATAACTTGATTTTTGTATATATTACAAAGTGATCACCACCGTAAGTCTAGCTACCATTCATCCTCTGTCTAGTTTTTGTTTTTCATGTGCCATTATTTTCTTACAGATATGGAATGTGCAGATGTCCCATTATTAACTCCAAGCAGCAAAGAAATGATGTCTCAAGCATTGAAAGCTACTTTCAGTGGTTTCTCAAAAGAGCAGCAACGACTGGGAATTCCAAAAGGTATGCTTGGTAGTTGGAAATAGAGAGGGTGGGATCAGACTTCTGGCAGAAGCTAGCATTATTATCTGTAATGGGAGGTAGATATGGTTACCGACCACACTTCATTGAGCAGCTCCTGATGGTTACAGATGTCTGTTCACACACATACTTATGTTGCCACACATACTCATGCATCTGTCTCTCAGGCTTATTGTCACCATCTTGGGCTCTGGACACTGGTTCCCAAACTTGTTTATATCTTTAGAATTAGAATTTTCAAAACACTTCACAACTGTGCTGAGAACAACTGCTGGGAGGATCTGTATTTTTGAAGCTCCTCTGCTGATTCCAAAGTACAGACAGGTTTGGAAAACACATTCTGGACCTTCATTTGATGAACTTAGCCATAGTCCTTGGAATGCACTGAGTAGTTTTTCTTTTCCAAGTGCTTTGGTGAACTGTTTATACTTGGGTTTATTCAGGAATGGAAAGGACTAGGGCTATCAGAAGAAATGACTGGAGAACACTTCAGCCTTTACCAGGAAATTCAGAGCAGGACTATTGAGAACAGAAAGACCCTTTTTTTATGAGTATCAGCCAGGCTGTCAATAGAGTAGGCTAGTTCTGCTAGATAAGAAGCTAAGGCTTAGCCAGACCCAAGCCTGTGACCATTTACCCATGTACCTTTTCCTGTATACACTAATACGCACAGACCTCAGCAGTCAGAACTTTCCAGCATCCTTTAGAATCACAGACTGACGGGGTAAGCTTGAGAGCAGGTGTGATGTGGCCACTGCCATCATCCCAGCTTTTTAAAAATGATTTATTTATTTATGCATATAGAACTGAGGTACAGGCCAGAGGTGCAGAGAAGATTCACCAGAGACAGAGTGGGGAGCAGAACAGGCCGACTGATGAAGTACACTGCTAAAGAGAGCAGTGGGTGGGTCAGGAGAGGTCTGCCGTGCCATGTGGATCACCTCCAGGGCGGGGATTGAACTCATGCTGAAGTGGCTTTAGTTTCTTAGTGCTGTGCTTTAACCCTCTGCACCACTGGGGAGGGTCCATCCCAGCTTTTTAAGTGTCATGAGTTGGTGTAGCCATAATCAACCTAGAGCCTTGTGGGAAGATTATCTGTTCCACAGTGCTGCTCAGTACAGGGTTGTAAAGTATATGTACTTTGCAGGGTGTCTCTGGCCTAAGGCCAGCACCTAATAATGTTGTGATTACTAATTAGCATTCGAGTGACTTACTATTACTAATTGCTGTGATTATTACCATAATTAAGATAAAAATAATGAAGACAATGGTCTCAAGTGTAAGAGTTCAAAGTAGGGTACAGTTGCCAGAACACACCTGACTATTAAGACTGCCATTCAAGAAGTCATTTGCTTCTTTGTCCCAGGCTTAAAAAAAAAATTCTAATGGAACCAGGCAGGGAGTGAGGAGAGTCATGGAGTATTTGGAGGGAGGGTAGAGAATTCTTGGGTGTTACCTTTTGGCTGCTGATAGTGATCTCCTATCTGGCAAGATAGGAAGGTGGGGATATTAGATTCAGGGAAGAAGGTTCTGGGAGGTGCCCACGATATGCCTGGACTTGCCATCTCAGGCTCATGCCTCCTAACTCTAGACTTCAGAGAGCATCTGAGCTCAGTTCGGGTCTGTTAGTGACTGCTCAGAACCTAACCTGCTTCATCATCATTTATCCCTTACCAGACCCTCGGCAGTGGACAGAGACCCACGTTCGGGACTGGGTGATGTGGGCTGTGAATGAGTTCAGCCTGAAGGGTGTGGACTTCCAGAAGTTCTGTATGAATGGAGCTGCCCTCTGTGCTCTGGGCAAAGACTGCTTTCTGGAGTTGGCCCCGGACTTCGTTGGGGACATCTTATGGGAACATCTTGAGATCTTGCAGAAAGGTAAATATGCAGGCCAGAGGGAGGCAGGGTTTTATGGGAGCAGGTAGCGAACATACCCCCTCCTGGGAGCCCAGTCATTAGCCAGAGGTCCCTCTCACAGTGTGCTTGTCTGCAGAGACTCACCCACACAGTGCCTGAGCATGGAGCAGCTCAGTAAATATAGTTTCTTTTTCTCAGGTGTTGGTGGTTCAGATGTTAATCTTTAGCAAGATTATACTCCTAAAACTTCTTGGTATGCAAAATTCTGATCCCAGCACCTCAGTCCTTATCTTAGACACATGTACTGTTTGGACAAGCAGTGCCCACGGACAGCTCTGAGATAAGTTTTTTTCCCCTGGCATCCTTAACCACACTCTTTTGATCCGTGGCAGGGTGATACCTGGCCAGGTCCCTGAATAAGCTCAGCTTCTCAGAGCTTGTGACCCAGACAGCCCCTCTGCCCAGACTGGGATGGCCAGTGCAGCACACCTTTTCATCTGGAGCAGAAACTGGGGTTATGTCAGGACACCGTGTTGCAACCTTGTAATGACATGGCCTCCGGACCAGCCTCTTCCAACCTTTTTGGACCAAGTGACTCATGTACCACAGTTCTGGCCGAGTATAGAAACAGCAGCAGGCAGCAAACTTGGGCGTTTTTGCGCTTATTTTTCCGAATTTCTTCTTAAAATAAATTGCAGTTACCAGCAGTCAGCAGTGCCCTGCAGCTGACTGTAAGCCTAGAAGCCCATTGCCCTCTCTGACCCAGGCCCACCCTTTCCCTGTGGTCACCGGCTCCAACCCCGGGCGCAGACGCTGGGGGCAGGGCACAAAGCTGAGGATTAGTACTTTTATTCCATATAGTACCTTCCTTTGTTTAAGAATATTTTCTGCTCCGCAGTGTTCCAGAGAGACCCAAAGTCGATTCCTTTGGGTATAGAAGTTTTATCTTTCTTCCTTCTCTCCAGCTTCTGCTGAAAAATAAATAAATAAACACAGTCAAGAACGAGGCAGCTTTCTCCCTGGCAGCCACACAGGCTTCCCCGAAGCATCGACGCATTCGCCTATTGGCACACAAGCTCCTGCTCACATGTGTTGACGTGAGCGACCTGTTTATAGAGGGAAAGGATATGGCCAGCTCGGCTTATAAATACACCAGTGAATTCTAGCAGATTGTCAAATATATTCAAGTGTGTTTTTTTCCCTCTATTTATGGCCATGGAGATGCCAAGCATCTCGGTGTGTAGGCCTGCCCCTGAGGACAGTTGTAATTCATATCTGAATCACATCTCCTTGTCTCCAAATGCTTTAAAATTACACTTTCTCTTTGGATTCTCTGAGCACCTTGGAGAGATTGGATAGACATGTACTCTCAATGTCCCCCTTGTAAAGTGAGGCTGGTGAGGGGGTTTCCTCCTCCCTGTCACTCATTGCCTGAAGCTTGTGTTGTTTTTTTTTTTGTTGTTTTTGTTTTTTAACTTAATTCTTTACACTGTAGCTTCCTCTTCTGTGTTCTTTGTATAATAATATGGACCTGAGGGGAAGGTCTCAGGCCCTCAACAAATTTGGCTGCAAAAGAGTAGTTGAAGTGAATTAGGAAACAACAATTCAGTTTGCTTGATAACAAATGTCTATCATCCCACCCTTACTGAGAGAAGCAGTAAGACTCTCTCTTCAGATCCTTGAAGAGCTGAGCTAGATGTTTGTATCGAGGCTGTAGCTTTTGTTGTGTAATTAAAATGAAGCCGCACAGCACCAGAAGAACATAGCTGTTTGGGGCGGGGTGGAAAGGCCAAAGGTGCCGGGGATGTTTCCATCTGATAAGCTGCTAAAGCAGAGTTTAATCATTTTATCTCAACTGGGAACTGTTTTTCTGTGCAGGCATAAACTTGTTTTCCCAGCAGCCCCTGCTCTCTACAAGCTATCAAATACCTGAGGAAAAACCCAAACCAACACTCTCTTTATGTGTGATTCTTACAGTGAAACATAATCACACTCCTTCATACAATGGTTAGAGGCCACACCATTGGATTCCAGGGTAATGAGAGGGTCCCCACGGTCACCTTAACTCTGTGGAGAGCCTTTCCATGCTCAGTCACCCCGCCTCTACATTCCTGTCTCGTTCCTATGGAAGTTGGCGTCTGGGCAAAAGTTTGTCTCTGGGGCTGCCCTTTCTTTGCATAGTCCACCAATCATAGTTCACCCTGCCATAGTTCACCAGTCACTTGGCCAGTGTCCTACTTCATGCATACACCTGAACTTGAAATCTGAGGGAAATAAAACAAAAACCAAACTTGTTAGAAGAAGCGATAGAAGATACACAGTCTACCTATCTAGAGACTGCATTCTGTTTCTGCAAGGTGTTGAGGGCTGGGCACTGACTCAAGTTCTGGGAACTTCCCAAGAATGTTTTTCGGCTTTGGTGCTGATGTGGTACATGCAGGCGTCAGAATGAAGTTGGAATGTCTTCCCTTAGAGACCCTGACAGATTACTCATTGACTCTCTCTCCAAGATAATAATTCCCCTTTTGCAGCTACCGAAATAATCAGCTTACCCATATTTCTGTGATCTCATCTCTAAACAAGGCCTAGTCAGGGTAGCCTCAGACACCAGCTCAGTGAGCGAACATGCAGATTTCTTAGAAGGGAGGCTGAGATCATTGCAGCCCTTTCATCCAAGATCCTGTTGGGCCAAATATGATTTATGTGCTGACCTCTTTGTCCCTCCATGCTGTCTGTTACAGAGGACGTGAAGCCATATCAGGTTAATGGAGTCAACCCCACCTATCCAGAATCCCGCTATACCTCGGATTACTTCATTAGTAAGTCCATCTTCCAGCTTTCCTCCCTCCCTTGTTCACTGTGGGGCAGCTTAGGAAAGCTGATCTCAGGCTTCTTTGTGGGAAGTCTGGAGAAAATAATACATAGAAATACATTTCTTAAATGTAAGCTATTTCTTATTGTGTGATTTCCACAAAGCACAAGGCTCAAGCTGTTTACATATTTTATTAACTTGCAAGTTCCTACACAAAGGTATGTTTATGTTTAACATGAGAGTTCCTACACAAAGGTATGTTTATGTTTAACATGAGAGTCATTCAGAGAGACTCCATCTTGACCTCTAAACTTTTGATCACATTGAATCTGGGTTAGCTGCCCTGGTTCTTAGCTTTTTTTTTACTAGTAGATACTCCAAGTTTGTCTCTGAAATTCTTCCTCTAGAGTGTGCCAGGCAACTTCACACATTCACACACTGTTAGAAAAAATTAAACCTTTTTCCTTCTAGTAGGAGAGATCTAGCTGTGCTGGAGAGGAGGCTAGAGGGAGAAAACAGGGTAGAGCTGTCTTATCTGATGACCTTCCTTTCAGAGGGAGTTCTTAGCAGATCTGTTGACATTTAATCTTTTTACTTTATTATGATTTTTAGTCTTACAACTTTAACTACTGTCTATGAAGAGTTTACAGTGCCAGAAATGTCTCTGGGCATTTTGTATGTATGCTCATATTCGCTCTCCATGACAATGTTTAGAGAGAGATTGCAGTCATATCTTTTTTAAAGATGAGGAAATTATGTCAGAAAAGGGAAGTATCTTATCAAGGGCTATCTTGAAGCAAGGTTGAAACCCAGGCCCTTTGGATTTATAAGGTTTTCCTTCTGTTTTCTAAGGTACTTTCCTTTGTTTTACCTTTTGGGGCCATTGTGTATGGGAGGGGCTGCTTATTTCAGGTGCAAATCTCTTCTCTCCAATTGCACACTTCTGTTTCTAGGCTACGGTATCGAGCATGCTCAGTGTGTTCCTCCCTCTGAGTTCTCAGAGCCCAGCTTCATCACTGAGTCCTACCAGACCCTCCATCCCATCAGCTCAGAGGAACTGCTCTCCCTCAAGTACGAGAACGACTACCCCTCTGTCATTCTCCGGGACCCTCTGCAGACAGACACCTTGCAGACTGACTACTTTGCCATCAAACAAGAAGTTGTCACCCCAGATAATATGTGCATGGGGAGGACCAGTCGTGGTAGGTCAGATTTTGTCTCTAGAGGCCTTTGTATTAACAAGAATTATCCATGTTGTGAGTTGGCCTGCTCCCTTTATTTTCTTTTTTCTCATAATTGGCCCTGTATACTCCTGAGTTGCAACCTTTATACCTCAGCCTGCCAAATATCAAGAACTTTCCAGGTGGGATTTTAAGCAAATCCATCATGCTAACAAAGACTTTGGGTCCCTGGAAGAGTTGAAGTTGGTGAGGATCACCAGTAAGATCTCTTATTGTGGTAAAACTTCTTAGCAAATAATCACTGTAGTTGAATGGAGTTAAGTGTGCTTTACTTTCTTGGAGAAAACTTTACTGAAGGGGGACACGATTAAGTAAAATGGTCCAGGTATCCCTTCTGAAAGCTCTTAGTTTCTCATGTGACCTGCTGTTTCTCCAGATATACTCCTCGGTCAAAGTGCAGACCCAGGCTTGGAGCCTGAACAACCTCAGCCGGGACTCTGTAGCTTCCTGGGGCTTCTCTGATTTGGAAAGATGCAAGATTATTGGCTAATGGTTTATTCAGAACCAGTCATCAGCAGTGTGGTGAAAGCATGCATTTAGTTAGAGAACCAGGGAAACGTGGTCAGAGGGTTCCAGAGAATGTACTCTTGTTGATGTGACTCCAATGACTGATAAAATATTCATCGACAGTGAAGTAAATGTTTCACAATATAGCTGACTGATTTAATAAAGCAAAGATGGTCAAATACACCCCATTTTTAATATTAGGACATAAACACTCTGAAACACAGCCTGCCTAGTCAAGTATCCAAATTGCTTTGTTTCTGACAAAAGTACAATCCATTGTATTTACAAAGGGTGTGTTTCATCCAGGAAGAATTAACTTATTGGTTGCTCAAAAGTTAAAAAAAAAAGGGGGGGAGGTGTTTTCCAATGGATAAATAGGAAAAAATTACAAAAGGAAGAGGACAGGAGAAAGCCGGTTAAGTTCTCAGGGCTTTGATCACAGAAGCCCAACTTGCCTGGTTCTGTGGAAGCTTCTGCTCAGTGTAGGGCCGGCTCCCTGCCTGAGGCTCCGGGATGTGGGCCTTAAGGCCAACTTACTTCCGTACTTTGAAGAATCTTCCCTTAGGCATCGTGGGTCATGAGCATGGTCATCTTCTTCGAGTGTTCAAGCTCTCACTTCCTCCCAGTAGGCCTTAGGATAACCAGCAGGCCCTGCCTAGGGAAAGTCCCTTGCAAAATCAGAACCTATAACCTTCCTTCTTAGGGCTCTTGGGTGTTTGTGTCTCAGACCGAAGGGTTGGGTGGGACCAGTTCGCCTTCCCCTTTTTGATTTTTTTTTATTTTTGGATGCATGTCTATTTACATATGTACACACATGTGTTTGTGTATCTTTTTTTCCCCTGGCACAGGTGAAAGACAAGAACCACTTTATTGCTCGTGGGTTTTTCTATACCTGAACATGATGGGGCTGAGTCTGTGGCTTTGGCGCTCAGCCATGTTCTAACTGGGTAGCTCTGCTATCATTTTGTTTCTAAATTGTGTGTGATTCTGTCTTGGTGTCATTGTCCCTCATTTTCCCTCGTCCTTGCTTTTGTTCCCTTCCAACCCCAAACCAATGTCTGTGGAGTAGTGACCTGCACAAAGAAACATGAGTTTTGCTCTGGCTTCATTCTCCCATCCTCACACCAAGCTTCTGTCCATTCTGGTCAAGGCTGCTTTTTGAATGTTAGAAGTGCTGCAACAGGACATATTCCAGGGGCTGACTGAATCTGATATGGTTGAATTGGTCTAGACTGAAAGCATTCCTCTTAGCTGGTTGTTATTAATAATAATCATAGTATTCATAGGCTGCATTATCGTACACAAAGTGCTTCTATGTCTCCCTGACTTGGTCTCTGAGAACAGTCTTTGTGCTGGTTTGATGGGTGGGCTGCTGTGGGGTTGACCCACTACTGTTCCAAGGCCTGTTGGGTAGAGTCAGAGAGCTCTGGAGGGATCTTGCTTGTCTCAGAAAAGCTGCCCAGTGGACATCTTAAGGACATATGTCTCCCTGCAGGAGCACAGTAACATTATCTAGTGTGTAATTCAGTGGTATGCAGCCCATTTTTGAAGAAAATACCTATAAACGAAGATTCCCAGCTCCAGGATTGTGAAATGGAGCTAAAGCGAAAGCAGCTCACTGCTACAACCCACACTTCTTGCCAGAGCCACGCGGCTCTTGTCTGAGGGCCGCCAGAGCGGCCATAGTCTAGTTCAGCCTCCCGACTCCAGGGGACTCTGTGGAAGTCCAGCTAACTTATTTATGGAGATTCCTGGCTCTGTGTCCCCCCTACAATATAAGAATAGTGACAGTGACAGAATCGTTTCTGAGCTACTTTTTAAGTATAAATACTGTTTAAATATCGGTGATTTGGTGGGAGAGTTCTTCATGAAAACATGACTTGATTTCTTAGGCTATTGATGTGTTTGTCTCACAGAAAACTTGAATGCCCATGACAATGGAGAGCTGGTATGAGCAAACACCTTTTTATGAGATACCACAAGATTTCCTGTTCTGTTAGAAAAAGGGTTTTGCATTCTGGGGTTGGGCAGTTTTCCTGACTCATCTAGTGTGGATTTCTGGAAGGGACAATTCCTTCGCTCTTAATAATAATAAAAATTGCAAATGCGACAGTGGACCGGGTGGGCAGAGGCTGGTCATTCCCTTTGCCTTCTGGAGCTTCCTCTTGGAGTGGGTGATTGGAGGAAGGAATGGATGAGATGAAGTAGATGAAAAACTGTCTTTCTAGTCAAAGCAGTTTTGAAGGGATAAGAAGTTTAGGAAATATACACTAGTCCTACTTACATACTTAACTGAACATATTTTACCTGGAATTCTTTTTTTTTTTTAAATTTTGGGAGCAATGCATTTTCTTTCCTAAATATTACATATTTAATTTTGGTTTGGATTTCAGTTCATATTTAAACTTCACTGTTGAATCAACGTTTATCATTACGGAAGGGAAGTTACACTAGAAACACACCAGTATAAGGTTATGTAGGACAATCTTTTTCTAGGATTAACATGTATAGTAGATCAGCCATCCCTGAACAATTGAAACGGACTTGCAGCATTTCTACAAACACTGATGTCACATCTTTTTGCCTCTTGACCTGTGTTGAATTGAGGTGACCATTTAATCTCTCGTGATTTAATTCAGGTTGCCAGAAAAGTATCTAAAAGTAGAACCTAAAAAATGCCTGTGAGGCTTTTCCAGCTCCTAGATGCATTTTTTTGTTAGCCTTTTTCTAAATGGCATTTATTTACCCATGGAAATTTCTCTAGGAGCTATTACGCAATCATAGCAGCTGTTTATAACCTGGTTTGGGAAATTAATGAACTTGCATGATCTTGTGGTCAGTTAAGAATGCCTTAAGCAACTCCCAGAGTAAAGGATTTCTGACATTGCTGTGGATCTTAACTCTTTAATGAACTCTTTTGTGTTTTATTACCCACACTTTCCCAAAGAAATATACATTTCAAGCACAAAATGTACTTGGAGAGGAAAAAGAACATGGATTTCTGTTTAGATGAGTGACAGTGCCTCTTTTTAAAAAGTCTCCTGGAAAAAAAGCATCGGATAAACTTCTTCTCCGTTTAAGAAGGCATAGAGACAGAACACATAATTTATTTCAAAGTAGTATTTGGAAAAATGTTGAAAAATAGTATTTTGGTTTCATGGTCAAGGAAGGTTAGTCTACTGCTCTTCAGTTGATGGAATTTTTTTCTATGAGCAAAATTGTTATGTTACAAAATTGGGCCTTTTGAAATTTTCTCATTGATTTTACTTGGAGCAAGGACTAGATACTGCTAAAATTTCCTCATCCATTTATTGAATCTAAGATTCTAGAATTCTTAGGGCCCCAAATACTAACTGCCTCTGGCAAAGCTGAGCTGCGTGTTCGCCTCTGAGTCTCAGTCCTAGGAGCTGTAGCCCAGAACAGCACAGTGGCAGTGGACTCAGATTGGGGACCCATATACAGCACAACCCCTGTCCCCAGAGTAAGCCCATAAACTTCCATTCCTACAGGACTGTGCCTTCTTCATCCCTCTGCAGATCAGATTAGCAATCTGTCCTCACTAAGAGGGTTTTTACAGCTGTCTTTTCCCAATCCCTCCTCCCCTGCCCTCTTCCTACCTCCCCCTTCACCTCCAGGTAAGCTCGGGGGCCAGGACTCTTTTGAGAGCATAGAGAGCTACGATAGTTGTGACCGCCTCACCCAGTCCTGGAGCAGCCAGTCATCTTTCAACAGCCTGCAGCGCGTCCCCTCCTATGACAGCTTCGACTCCGAGGACTACCCAGCCGCCCTGCCCAACCTCAAGCCCAAGGGCACCTTCAAGGACTATGTGCGTGACCGTGCTGACCTCAACAAGGACAAGCCTGTCATTCCTGCTGCTGCCCTGGCTGGTTACACAGGTAGGCGCCCCGCTCCCAACTCAGCAGCCTCTGTGAGGCCTTGGGGCCCTGTGGAAGACATTGCATACCCGTCCCAGGCCCTCAAGTCAGCTTCTGTCTTTTTTGGGGACAATGGGGAGGAGAGGACTCTGAAAGGGGTGGTCACTCTCTCAAATCACTCTGCTTGTGATTAGCCATGGATTTGGGGAGCGAATGGTATCATTTTACCCCAAGGGATCATTTTCAAGAATGGTAGGAAAAACTCTTCACTGGAATCTTTTTCTATTTCTGGGGGAGAAAGAATTGTAATGATTCGGTGTTTCTGGAAACTCGGCAAAATTGGGAGTTCTTTCTAAACACAAAGCCTGCAGTGGCATCTCTTAAAGGCATCACAAATGGCCTACATTCTCGATTCTTCTGTAGTGGAATTCTCAGTGGGTTAGATATTCAGGTGGGAAAAGCACCTTAAGTTACTCAAAACAGTCTAGAACCTGGCCTAGTGTGGAGATAATTTTTCTCACTTAGCTTTATTATTGTTTTCTTGGAGTAAAAGTTATAGTAGCAGTGACTGAATCTTCGCTGTTATAGAGAGAGGATGATGTCAATGGAAAATTTGCACTTTGAGAATCCTGTATTGGAGCAAAACAACCCCTTATCTGAGTGGGTTGTACTGTACCTGCTGCCTAACAGAGACATTTGAAGGCTACATCTGACAGATACACAAGGAGCACTAATGTGCTAGGATCAGATCCATATATTAAAATTCCATTGTTTCTAAACATTAGAGAGTGTGCTGTGAGTGGAACTTGGTTGAACCTTTGAATACTCAGCTATGGCCTGTTTTCTTACAATTTATTCGACTGTGGGCAGGTTAGCACGTGGGGACCCTTTGTGGAGATGAAGACCAACAGCAAAATCTGTTTCTGTTGAGACATCTGTGTGGTTTTCTGAATGCATTAGATCCTTATTCTTGTGTTCAGGACAATCACAGGTTTTGCTAGAAAAGCAGCTGACCTTCGAGAATAACTCAAATGTTTAGAAGAGTTGCTCCTCCTTTAAAGATCAGGAGTGTGTCTTTATGTAGCATTCCACATCACCCAGACTTCACTCACAGCATAAACCTCTGTGCTTTGAGGTGGAACACAGAACCTCAGGATCCCTGTTCTGTTCTTGCGACTATATTCTCTTTGTTTGAACATCACTAATATGTAGCCACTCGCTGCCTTTTAAGGGACTCCTTTCTCCTCTCGGGACAGCAGACAAAGTTTGTCCATTTCCAAAGATATATTGAGTCTCTTTCAAAATGCAGTCAAGTGCTGGTTCTTGTAGCCATAACTCCTGGGTATTTTAAGAGTCAGCTCTAATCAGTTGGACACATTCATGCAGAAAGGAGAAGTGATGTCCAATTAGGACGGGAAAGGAAGTACTGACATAGCTCCAGATTGACTTTGTGGGCTTTGGAGGTAGCGGGGAGCTCTCACTGGTCATGCTTGCTTCTGATTGGTGGTGCAGAGAAAACTACACTTTGTCACTGGCCCAAGAGCAAAGGCCCAGCTTTGCTAGTTTCCACCCTCACTTTCAGAACTAATCGTCACTTAGTTTCTCTTCATTAAAGATAGTTCTTTGTTCTCTCTGTCACAATCACCACTCTCACTACCAGCAACACCCACAACCATGCAATCATAATTCTTCTCTGGTAATGTTTTTCATCATTCTTTTTTAGTGAGAGATGGGATTCTGAAAATTTTGCTGGTTAGGGCAGCTTTATAGATAATGAGAATGAAAAAACTGACTCAGAATTCTAAAGCTTGGCTTATGGCCAGAGAAAAATCTTAGAATTGAGTTTGACCTTCCTGGGGTGAGATTCTGGTAAGGACCCCTGGTAAAAGGTATGGAAATGTATAGAAATAATAAAAGCCCGATTCCCACCACAAATAGAAACACCTCTGAAAATCTTATATGTATTGTTACTGAATTTTCTTTTAAAAATTATATACTTTACGTCATTCTTCAATTTGTACATTTTTTCATCTCAGTTGTACTCCCTGTGGACTTCTCGCCATCACTTCACGCATGTTGCATCATCATAGTCCTGTGTCCTATGAGCTATCTCCACTTCAGTTTTGATCCTATTTTCCTCTTCACCCCCATAGAGTATCTCTGGTTTATAGTTGTTTGTTGATTTTCGTTTTTACTTTATTACAATTTTTTTTTCCTGATTCCTGAATTTTCTGACACACGGGAGAAAACTATGGCGTTACTAGTCTACAGTTTTGATTAAGATGAATTTAATTCCTTCACAAGAACTATCTGAAAGTTAATTTTTCCAAGTGTCCCAGTTTCGAGGATGGAAGGGCTGATTGAGAATTTCTAAGAGTTAGGAATGAGTATGAAGTGCAAATCAGGGACATGACCTGCCATCGAGATGGCTAACCAAGATGCCACTTCTAAGAGGCTTCTCTGGCAATCCAAACCCAAAGCCAAAAAGATAAGGGCATCAGAAGTTCAAAAGCACAATTACTGATCCGGAGGCAGAGTTATGCCTGATGTCATACCGTTTGTTTTATTAGAGATCATGAATATTAATTTTAATTTGTTAGATTGTTTTCAATAGGTGCATGCCTGCAGATACACACCCCTCCCCCACACTTTGTAAGGGGGTAAAATGTCCAGTGAGTGGAAGAAAAGAGAGGGTGAACTTTGACTTTCATCAGCAAAGTTCTCAAAGAGTCAAGCAGTCATTTGAATGCATAAACCTTTTTTAAACAGGTTGCCATGAAGTTGTTTCTTCTGTAACTGGGGGTTTAACATGTTATACTAGCTCACATTTTGGTGGTGAGAAATACTGACCAGAAACCAGAAGTCCTCCGTGTCCCCTCCCAATTCTAGTACACTGTGTGATTTTAGGCAAATTTACCTTGTACCCTTTTCTACTTTTAGTAAAATTGAAGTGCTCATCCTTATCTTGGTGGTAGGAGATCTGTGAAAGTGTAATTGAACTAAGTCAGTTAAAGACGGTCTAGACGTGTGTTAGACTGGGTATTGGGGGAGGAGGCTAAGTTGTAGCAAGTCAATGGTTTTAGCCAGTGTTTAGCATAGGTTGAGTGCAGATAAGCTTTCCTGGCCTTTGAAGGGTCCCTGTCTTTTTGGATTCAAGGTATTATAATTGGATTTTCTTACTGCTGTGTTCTGAGTGAAGGTTTGGATTGTTAGGCTGGTGGGGGGCAGCCCAACTTTGGTGACTTTTTCCTGTGCTCAGAATTGGTGAACATCTGCCCACACTGCATCCGGATTCCCTGGCTTGGACAGCCTCCTTAAAGCTACATCCTACCTGGTGGTGAGGAAGGACTGGAACATTTCAGTCTCTCCATCACCCAAGGAGCAGGCAGTGAGTGGAGTGTGAATAAATGCACCTCTAGCTTATTGCAGATACGTTGAGATGAGCTGAAGTTTGGGAAATCATGGTGTAAGTGTTGGCAAAACTTTTCATTGCTCACAAAAAAGTCGCACCTGTTCTCTTTCTGAAGTGATGCCCCCCTGTTCTGTTACATTTTACTTCTCCCTAGTGTGTGGGCACATAACAGGAGCACTCGTAGCTTTACTGCATTTACTGCATTGGCTCTTGATCTGAGCTCTGGGGTGTATGCAAAGATTTTTCTAACTGGGAAGAGAGTCCATTTTCCTGCCTCCCTCATGCTAGGAGCCTCGGTCTTGATCCTTAGCACCTTCAAAGGAATGCATTTTTACTTCATATGATGTCTTAGTTACTGCACTGTATGTGTGGAAATCAGTTAGAAACTGAATTTTCACATTCTCTGGCACAGTTACATTCTTCCTCCAAAGATAAGAAAATTGCATCAACCTTCACTAGGCTCCCATGGCAACTTGTTAAATTAGGTCAAGATGTGGGGGCAGATAACATGGCTTGAAAGCTGCCTGTTAGCCGAGTTAAGAATACATCAAATGCAATGCTGGCTTCCGCCAAAATGTACCTTCTTACCTTACTGTGAACTGCTTACGGTTATCAAACTGATACAATCAGAAAGTTCCATTTTCTCTCGTTCGAAGATACATTATGAACCCATGTAATTACAAAACCATCTGAGAGAAGTGGCCTGATGTTTTCATATATTTGTTAGACTTAAGCAAAATGCTCTCCAGGTCCTTGAAAAACATAGGCATCTCTCGTCCCTCCCCTATCCCGCCACCCCCAATCTCAGTAGGTTTAAAATAATAGACTGGGGTGTCAACTAGTGTTCTTCCTCCCTTTCTTTCCCTCCAGCCCCATTTTATAGAAGATAAAACTGAGGTACAAGATACGACTTATTCAAGGCTATGTGTTTTTGTCTGAATGGAAGATAGCTCTGATTCATAAGTGCTTAGATCTCTCATCTGAATATGCAATGTTTCTTCATAGTGAGGAATGAGAATCCTCTTTGGTGATCTCAGTTGCCTCCACAGAGGTAATTAGAAGCCTTGTCTTCCTCTTATCACTAATTAACACTGTATGTAGGTGGGCAAAGGGCATATTGCAGGATTGGAAGAAGCCTTTGATTTCATTCCAGAATCACTGGTCAGTAAATCACCTTTATCTAGCTTCATTCCAGATTGCCAGACATTGCCACAGATAAGGAGTCCATTCCTATCACTTCTGCAGTTGTTATTGAGCAGGCCTGGTGATGATGTTCTTGTTCTCGGCATCTCAGTATATTTCCACCTTTCCAGTTGCAATTGTGAATGAAAAAGTTAGGGTTTCTTTTTCCCTTTTCCCCCTGGAGCCTGAAAAATGCTCAGCCATTCATTAACTGTAATGAAATTATGTTTTATAGTGCTATGCAGATCTGTGAATAGATATTCCCTTGATTTCCTTAAGGCTAAATTTAGGACTATCTGAAATTCAACTTCCAAATATTTTTGTATGCCACTCCCCCCACCCCAATTGTATCAATTTTGTTGGAAAAAGAAGACCCCTGCATTCCCCTATAGGACCTCTCATATTACTTCCAGCCTGAAATTAGTAA